CACGATCCAAGTGAAGACCCGGGCCCTCTGACCCAGGAAGCAATTCTCCCTCCATCACAAGTTTCAGCAATCATGGGTAGCCGTTGTTTTTTGAAACCATTTTGCTCACATTTGTCACCCATCATATACTACAATATTTTAATGATCACCACATATTATTTCATAATAGAATCACATAATAGACCTTTTTTTTTTTTTTTTCTTTGAAGAAACAAGCACTTTGCCTGGCCCCAGGGCCAGGGTTTCTCTTACACACATAGCATTCCTGTCCCTAAGAATTAAACTGTATGTTTTGATAGCATTGATGTATATGAAGGAATGAGAAAATGCTACTGAGTTTTCTGTGACTAGGTACCAAAGACAAGACTAAAAATATGAGAGCTCTAGTCCAGAGAAAAAACATTGAGGATATGGCTAAAGTCTAAAAATCATGAAGTCAAGTAAGGTGATGAATCAAAATGTTCATCAATCCCTGGGTAAAAATAATGAAGAGTTCCCTGAAGATTGGAAAAAGTGGGTTTTAAGATGAATAAAAGGAAGGACGACTATGTCACATTTATGGAACTGTCACCTGGTGACAGAGACCAAAAGATGAGTTCAGAAAGAACAGGTTAATTCTTCACTCATGAAATAGATTTTAAGGGAAGTAAGTGGGCCCTTGAGCAGCATCCCTAACCTCTGAGGCTGACCACAAACGAGAGAACTAAGCTCTTTCAAGAAACCTCAAGGCCACCTTCACACAGAATATACTAGTTGGCATGACAGTGGATCAGACCCATTTAGGAAGCCTTAAATTCCTACTGAAAAGCAAGGAATGCACATTAGAGAATCTGTCTATATTCTGTTAAACCATGTCTGGATGGAAAAAGTGTAGAAAGCTATCCTTAGCTCAAAAAGCTCACCAACCCAAAATAACAATGAAGAAACTCATTTACCAGTCCCCAGACTCCCCAAAAACCAGAAATCATCTTTGTTTTCCCATCGCCTGGCTCAGTGTCTAGCACCTAGTAGGGTTTAATAATCACACAGTCCACAAGTTCTGCTCTAAAACTATAAATACCTCCCAGAGAGTGTTAGCCTATTATAGTCATTTACACCACTGCGGGATTAAAAAAAAATGTGGGATTAGCAAATCTCGGAAATTAGCAAAGCCTCTAGGTTGGAGTGGTCAGAAATACAGAACATACCAGTAACATCCCCTGCCTCCTGGAAAATTAACCACCAAATCATCATACCTAAAGAGATTAGGATATAGGTACAGGCCAAACTCTTCAACATACATGAAAATTTAAAAGAATGCATAGAACAAGAATTAGATTAACTAAATGCTATTCATGTGATGCCAAGAAAAACATTTGTTCTAGGGTTTTCTAACCTAATTGCCATGAAGATGAGCATATGCCTTTGTTGTCCTATATACACACCCAAAACCCATCCTTCTAATGGGCCTAAGCACAATGTAGAAACTCATTAAATATTTACCAAATAAATTACTAAGTGTATACACATGAGATCTGGAACCAAATTATCATTGAGGAATATTACAGTACTCATTTCAACAATATAAATTTTATTTAAATTACCAATTTAAATTTAGCACCAATGATTTCATCTAATACTTCTTCCCTTCATTCTCAGAGACGATAGCTTCAGAAATCACGACCACCTGGGATGTCTGGGTGGCTCAGGCAGCTAAGTGTCCAACTCTTGATTTCTGCTCAAGTCATGATCTCACGGTTTGTGAGTTTGGGCACCACATCGGGCTCTGTGCTGACAGCACGGAGCCTGCTTGGGATTCTCTCTCTCTCTCCCTCCCTCTCTGCCCCCTTGTGCAAGTGCACGTGCATACATGCGCTCTTTCTCCCTCTCTCAAAATAAACTTAAAAAAAAAATAAAAGAAAATGCTAAAAAAAAAAAAAAAAAAAAAAAAAAAAAAGAAAAGAAAAATCATGACCATTTGAACCCTTCATCAGCCAAACCTGAAATAAACTCCACATGACCACAGAATCTGACAGATTGTCCATCTGCCCTGTGAGTGTAAACCCCACTTTCCTATGGGAGTTGGGACAAGGGGGCAGGGACAGGACAGAGGGTAGGAAGTGGGAGGCGATACAGTTTCAGTAGGGGAGGCAGATGTTCTAACTGCCAGCAAATAGTTGATAACTGTGACTTCTATGACATAACACTCACAAGATAAGGATTCCAGTGGCCATTGTTTCTTACAAGAACAATGGCTTCCAGTTAACACATGGCACAGTTTGTGAAATGATGCAGAGCACTGACCTATACATAATGTGCACACACACACATACGCACACAGGGAATTAAAGGATTATTAGGATGCCGGATGTCCAAACACTGCCAAAATGTGAACCCGCAGAGATAATAAAAGTACGAGCAACAGCAGTATTAAAAATCAAAAGGATTACACCAACTTCGCTCCACACAATCTCGTGTGCCAACAGCTGGGCCACAAAGCCTGGCAACATTAGGCAGTCCATACTGTAAGTCCCATTTCTTTTTGTTTGCAAAGGACAAACATCCTAAAGAACCATAGCCATCCCCCGCCCCCCATCTCTAGAAATATCAAGACATCAAAAGGTCAAAGGTTCCAGGTTAAGGAAAGATCGACACAAGAAATCAATACACCTTCCAAATGAAAAGTGGATAATTATAGACATATACTATGCTTTCTTAACACAACATGGGAACTAAGAGGGGAAAAAGAATGAGATAAATAAACTATCTGCTAATAAGCAAACTCATAACTCCTAAAACCTCAGATTAACGGAGACAAGCACAAAGCCAGAAAAGCCCCAGTCCTTACATGTGCAGCTATGCCCAAATTACAAGCACTATCTCCAAATGCCACTGTTACTGGTCCTGCTCTCAGGGAAACAGGAAAGGGCGTGGACTGCCCACCCTCCCCTCCATTCTCCCCCACCCTGCTGCCTCCACTAGGACCCTCCTGTAACTTCCATTGCTGGCAGTGGACTGCTGACGAGAAGCCAACAGAGGGAGAACGTGGAGGCCTGGGGCAGTTTGGGGCTTGGTAGAGATCAGGAACCACTGCGTCTGCCCAGAAGGCTGGTTCTGGAATTGTCAGACACAAATGCGCCCAGGCCTCATACAGACCGTGTGTAAATATTCTGCTGGTACCAACAGGATGGCCATGGGACCTCCAACAGAGCGCCACAATCAAATACAGTCATCACGAGCAAATTTGTGAGTGGTATTTCCAGACAGGGCATATGGAAATGTACTCTCCAATCTTTTTTTTTTTTTTTTTTTTTTTTTTTTTTTTTTTTTTTTTTTTTTTTTTTTTTTTTTTTTTTTTTTAATTAGTGTGTACTCAGTATAGACTCAGAATCTGAGGACACCTATAAAGGGATCTTAGAGATTTTCCAACCCATCTCTCTTTCTAAATAGTGCAGTACAGTTAGATGACTTGACCAAAGGTAGAAAATAAGTTGGTGGCAGAAGCAGGACCTGACTCTCCCCACAGTTTGTTAAGTGCTTTTTCCACTTGGGAAAAGTGACCTTCAAAATTGGTCAGGTGACGAAGGCACAATTTTACTGGTTGCTGTGATTACAAGCAACAGAAGGATGCAGCAATAATTTCAGTAAGAGCAAAGCACAGCTGATATTTTGAAGAAGGTAAAAAGCCTTAAATACATGCAAATTCTGTGAATTTGGGGCGTTTTCTTCCTTCCTCCCTTCCTCCTTCTCCCTCCCTCCCTCCGTTTCTTTTTCTTTTCTTTCTTTCTTCTTTCCTTCCTTCCTTTCTTTCTGAAATTAACATTGAATCGTGGTAGCCCTTCCTTTAATCTGAGTTAGGTGGCAATCTGTCGCTTCAATCCCAGTGAAATCTATGCCTTGTGTAGCCTAATTTAAAATGTGAGGCCAAACAGATCTGGAAAAGTACAGCTTTATCCTTGTACTTAATTTATACTATAGTGTGCTGTAATTAAGCCTGAAATAAAAGCTATATTCTGAGTAAAGACAAAAAGCTCTTGTTAATGGCATTCCATTCCCAATGTAGAACACAACAAAAGGCTTCTTCATTTGGAGCCAAATGTCATTATACTTCGTAGCTTGTGTGGAGCTGTCGTACTAATATTTGTCCTGGGATTAGGGTTGGGATAACCAATCAGTTAACTCCTCCACCGCAGTTTCCTATTATCCTCAAATAAATGGCCAAAAGGAAAAAAAAAAAAAAAAAAAAAAGAAAATTGGCAGGCAGAAGGACAACTATATTTATGAGATTAAACTCTCAAACCCTTCACAGTTTGCCGGGCAACTAATAACCATTTGCCAAGCTGTTCATTTAATAATGAGTCAGTTAAGCCAAGAGCAAATGTTCCTGCAACCAACCAGTGCTACTAGAGTCATACCCACACTGAAAAGCTCCAATCATTTACGTAACGTATGTACTTCATTTAGAGTAAGAGGTACACGGTGCCACGTACAAGAAACAGACTGCTCTTGTTAGCCAAACCCAAGCCACCCTGCACTATTCTGAATAACTGACATGTGTAGGTCATTTTGTAGTTTCTGAAAGGCACAATGGCCGACAAACTGTCTGGAGAGTAATTCCTGTTTGTGTCATGATTCTAGACAGAGGGCCAGAAGCTCTCCACCCGGCTCGGCACTTGCAGTATCACGTGGCCTTAGGTCAGCTAACTGCGTCTGCTCCCTGCTTTTCCAAAATAGAGTTGTCAGCACTGAGACCATCCCCACCCTGGAATTATGAGGACTGAACAAAATCCTGCTTGTCAAAGCAAAGTAAGTCATACGCTATACAACACCATCATCAGGTACGATATAATTAAGCAGGGGAGGAAACGCGGTGTGGGCTGCTTTCCAAGAAACACGTGTGTCCAAACAGGAGAGAACACCAAGCTGCCTTTGCTCTCCTTTCTCCTGTTTCTCTGGCCCATCTCCACACACCCATAAGTGACGAGGAGCAACCAGCAGGGATCCTTCGCTTTTTTACTTACTAATAGTTCATCCATACTGGTCTGGCATTTTTCCAAGTTGATCCGCTTTATGGCTACACGTTCTTGCCTGGGCTTGCAAAGGGCAGCCTGGACCACAGCAGTAGCTCCACTGCCTGAAACGAAATAAAAACAGCATCAGCTATCAAGGGGCATGCTGTCTGGTTAATGTTCGCCACCCCCTTCATAAACAAATACCTATTTTTTAAAAAGTCTTCTCCTCAAGGTATTCAGAACATTACCTTTTGACATCCTTGTAAAGAGTTTCTAAATCTGAAAATAATCCTCTGTGGGAGAAAAGGGAAAATGTGGACTGTTCTACAGGCTACAAAAACAGTATCTGTACCCAGGAGGGCAACCCACATCGAAAAAGCCCACTTTCATATGGCAGGTGTATTGCCGCCCAGGACAAAGGCTGACCAAGTGACGGGTCTGAGGTCACAGGGACAAGAGACAAGAGCGTCTGAGCACAACACTGCGTGGAGGCCATTACCATCCTTGGCTCCCAGTATTCTCTAACTTCAGTGCCCTTAAAATATCTCAAGCTCTTCTTCCACTTCAGCCCAAGCCAAACCACTACAGCTTGAGCTACTTCAGGGTTTCCACGAGATGCTGTGACAACTTATCTGCTCTGAGTGTTCTTTGAGCTTCTTTCTTCTGCGCTTGCTCTACAATTAGAAGAACAGGAATCAACCCAAGTATTCTCGTGTTGAAAGCACGACTTTCAAGGATGCCAAGCGAGTGATGCAAATGTGTAATTACAAAAGCTCTCGGCATTCATATGAATTTCCTATTTCTAAGGTTTCATGATCGTTAGCTAATGCACTCAAACTCCTAGGAGACAGAGTCATGTCATTATCCATATTTTATAAGAGCAAAATGTAGACGTGTAGTGATTTGTGGCAGAGCACAAAGAGCTCCTAATCCGATTTATATTCCACAGGGGCAAAAAGACCTCTGGGTTAAGGCATCTCACTTCTGCAGAGAATACCAAAACCCTCCTTCTGATCACATAAATCCTCTACCCCTGCAAGACTGCCAAAGAGAGAAACAGCCTAGGCCCAGGACTGTGTAAAAGAGGGTCAGATCTGACCATCTACCTTTCTCCTTAAAGCCTTTCTTCCAGGGCTACTTCTCGAATGACTCATCAAATATCATAAGATGTGGGCGGGGGCAGCTTTGGGCAATACAGAAGGGAGATCAGTATTCGCTTTCCTTACAGATGTGACAGACAGGGATGACATTTCTAGTACAAGTCAACGCTTTCCCACGCCAAGGAAGTGCCCAAGTGGGTGTCTTCAGAGCTGAGATTCTGCCCTTTCTTTCCTCCTGTGGTCTCAACGTCAGCTCTGGCCCCCTGACCTGGTATCCCAAGCAGATCACCCTAAGCTCCAAAACTTCAAGACTCCCATTCCAGGAAGTCCAGCCTGTGTTCATTGGGAAAGAAAATCTCCATATACTAACCACCCCCTCTATGGTATCTCTCCTCATGCAATAATTGTCATTACAAGCCTGTTCACTTTTTGTTCCTAGCCTCATTTTATACGTGAGAACACTGGGGCTTGGAAAACTTGCCCACGCAGCCAAGCGCCTGGGCTGGGGTCTGAGTCAGTCTGCCAGACTCCAAGCTCTTCCCTGCTTCCCATAGGCCAGAGCCCACGCTTCCCTTCCTCACTTGTCCTGGCCTTATAGGACCAGAAAAAAATGTCCTCCATGCTTGAACAAAAGAGAAACCACCTAGAGGGAAGATTCAAGCGAGCCTTACTCTCTCGTTCAAGGACAGAGTGCTGTTGTCAGAGGTCGTTAAAAGGGCCTCCCTGTCCCTAATCTCACTGCCTGCTCCATCAGCTTCTATTCCAAGTCCTACCACGTCGGCCTCGGCCCTGCAGATCACAGCATGCTGGGTTCAATCCAGAATGCTCTAGATATCAGAGCCAAATACTACAAAGAGCCCTGCTGATAGCAAAGTGTACTTTCCAGTCAAGGTCTCCAGAACAAGAGGCCATCACTGGCGGAGCCACAGAGAAAGTGATAAGTAGCTGGTTAGCACTGGGCCTGGTATCCAGCAGAGAAATCAACAAACGTCTTCAACGAGCTGCTGATGGGAAGCCATTCTCGGCTCTACCTGTTGTAAAACTCTCCCCAATTCCACTCCCCATCCTTAATCCACATCCCTGAACACTTCAAAGCAGTGGAACTGAAAAACAGGAAAGATGAAAACAGATTCCTAGAAGGGATAACACAAGTGCCTGTAAAAGGGGACTGCCTCCCATAGTCTTTTAAGTCCTTGACTATAAAAAAAAAAGTCTCCTGCCTTCCACAGACATATGCAAGCATGTGGACAAAAATAAGAATTCTGGAAAGAGGCAGCGGTAGGGAAAGTCTTGTATAGAGTTGAACAACCTCAGAGTTGCTATTACTTAACTGTGAGCGGCTGGAAAACAAGTGGCACCTTCTCATCTCTAGAGAGAACGCACCTGAGATGACTGTCATGGCATGAACACACGCAACCACCCACTGGTCGATTTAGACCTCTCTGACTCCAAAGATTGCCTTCAACCACAAGAGAGATCAAGAGCAATGAGAGAGGGGCAGGAAGCCTTAAGGACCGTCAAGTCCAGTCCCTGGCATTACGGATGAGAAAGGGAAGGGAGAAGCACTCTCACCAGAAAGCACCCTGATCTGGACTTCTGTGAAAAATAAATTCCCGTTGTTTGAGGCACCCAGGCCACAGTGTTTTGTTACAGGAGCCCAAGCTGATTAATACAAAAAAGCCATCTTCATTATCCATCTATGTCACTGCCCCACTATCACCTGTGGTAAATAATGCCCTACAAATTAGACATTCTCAACAGCTGCCTAATCGAGTTAAGTGCCAGCTAAGACAACATTCAACTGAAGTGCCTCCGGTAGGCCACAGTAGCTCCCAAACCTTAGGTAAGGAAGACCCTAGAAGAGAAGGTTCAATAAACATTCTATGCAACTCTGGTAACAATTTCCTGTTTCCTAATTTCTAAATCTCAGTTTCCTTAATGGGCATAATAAAATCTACCTGTGAGGCCTAATTACATCCCTGGAAACATCAACTCAATGAACATTAGGCTCTCTCTCTGCAATGCACTTCTGTACCTGCAATGTAAAGGACATAGACTGTATCTATAGTTTGCACTCACCCCAGGGCAAAAGAGAAGGCAAAGTCTTTCCATGTCAGTACTAAGTATCATTCTGCTTACCAGGAAGATTCACTTGGTTTAAAGAGGGAAAGAGGAGGGCTAAGTTTGAAAAACAGAGGACTAAGTGATTTCTAAGGTCTGAGACAACATAATGAGTTGAACATAATAAAATAGAAGAATCCAGAGAATTCTGAAATAGCTATGAATTAATATTCTATAGCTAACTTATTACTTATAATGTACTTTGATACATAACCTAAAAATCATTTTTAAAAATCTCAATCTGGATTGCATGAGTTCATAACCTAGGCCTGCCACATACTAAATGCTTATCCTTGGGGGCGCCTGAGTGGCTCAGTCAGTTGAGCATCTGACTTCAGCTCAGGTCATGATCTCATGGCTCAGTTTTTGAGTTTGAGTCCTGCATTGCACTCTGCTTTCAGCGTGGAGCCTGCTTGGGATCCTCTGTTCCCCACCTCCCTCTCTCTGACCTCCCCCACTTGCCCTCGCTCTCTCTCAAAAATAAAATAAAAACATTTTTAAAAATAAAAAACAAACAAATGCTTACCCTTGGATGATTTACTTAACTTCTCCATGCCTCAATTTCTTCATTTGTATGATGGGCTCACAGGGCTCACAGGGCAGCTATGAGGATCAAATGAGTTAATGCATGGAAAGCCCTTAGAACCGTTCCTACATAGGAAGTACTAATTAAATCTTAAGTAAGTATACTATTCAGGGAAATCCCTCCAAGTCAACTGGTGTCCTGCCCATTTGTTGTTGCAATGCTACATATTTCATGATGTTGGTGTACCATAATTTATTCAGCCCTTCTTCTATTGATCAGTCTTTTCTTTATTTCCAGTTTTCTGCCCAATATGAGTAATGTAGCAATAAAGATCTGGTACTTTAAAATATATGTATTAGTCTTTTTTTATTAAAAAATTTTTTCAATGTTTATTTTTGAAAGAGAAAGAGCATGAACGTGGGAGAGGCAGAGAGAGAGAGAGGGAGACACCGAATCTGAAGCAGGCCTGAGGCTCTGAGTGGTCAGCACAGAGTCGGAATTGGGGCTCAAACCCACGAACCTCGAGATCATTACCTGAGCCAAAGTCTGACACGTAACCGACTGGGCCACCCAGGTGCTCCAAAAATATATGTTTTAGTCTTTATGTTAAAGACTTATATATATTAGACTAATATATATTTCCTTATGTTAAAGTTAGGATGTGGTCAATTGTCCAGTAACCTCTCCTCATGAGTATGTCAGGATTTTAAAAATAAACAAAATAGATATGTTAGCCTATAACATGAATGGTGGCCGGTGGAAGGAAGCTGTCATCACATCCTACTTAAATGAGGAGCACCAAGCCAAAACTTTTAACAAGAGTTTGCCCATCTCTTAGCACAGGAAAGAACTCTTTAATTATGCTTCCCTGTCCCTCCTCAGTGAATAGTGTCCAGAGCTGTATCAGGCTTTCTTTTTGGATGTGCTGGTTGGTGGTAGATAGTAAACCAAACAAATGGCTTTGGTCCAGCAGATGACTCCTTCCAATTCTCTGTTTATCCAACTTACTCTATGTGTTCTATTTATATCATGTGCCCAACCTCAAAGCCCACGAGGCCAGTCAAGGTCACACGAGAGCCAGAAGCTGGCCAGTGACTGAATGGACACACACGTGAGTTCTGCAGGGGCACAGCTGCCATTCTGCCTCCACTAATGTCACCATGGAAGCTTGCTGACCTAGCACACCAAGATTCCAATTTTTGCAGAGAAGCTGAAAACTCAGAATTTTGCTTGAAATCTCCTAATATGATAAGGTTAGCAATTAATGTTTTTAAATACAAAAGTATTACGAATCACATAAAAGCTTGCTGCACTCTGTATTTTGCCTCCCTGTGTTACTACTATTTGGCTTCAAAGGTGCACCCATCCTTACCTG